TTAAGGTGGCTCGACCCCCTCACGCTTGACCGCTACCTTCCACTTTTGGAACGCTAGTGCATAAACGTCTTTTATCCGATTGCAAATCTTTTTTGCACATAAGTCACATAAAGATTGAATTAATATTTGACGAATATTAATTACGATTTGATGCTCTGGGAATTCTATTGTTTGCTAATGATCATAACATCAAATTCTTTCGCACCATGCACGGTCTCATCTCGCTTGGCTGCTTTCCGATTTACCCCCGAAGTTTGGTAACAAACAGTTGTTTTTTTTAAATTCAAACGTGGGACGTTTGTCATGATGTACTTTGTCAGTGTGAGTGAATAGAATCGGCGAACATACCTCAAATTAAAACTTCAAGAAAGAAGCGAGCAAGACTTTTGAGTTTAGATAAAGAACCATACTTCGGGAGTAAATCGGAAAGCAGCCAAGCAGCGTTCGCTTTAGATCGCTTTAAATGAGTTCAATAGTCTTGCAATTTTGTGTAATATTAGTTTAAGTCTGACGTAATTTTGAGAGAAATGATCAGCGAATTTTAGAATAATGGAAGATCTAGTAAGATTGACTAGAAAACTGCGATGAAAAGTGCGCATCAAATGTTTACCCCGTCTTCTGCACTATACGTTTTCACAAAATCGCATAAGTCGATTACCTTCAAAATGTTCTTTTTAAAACTAGATACAGAGTAAAACTAAATGAGCAATAACTTTTGTGAATATATAGCTCTGAAATATTAATTTCGGCCGTATGAAATCCATTGTTTAGTTTTGAAGTAGATTATGCACTATATTTAAATAATCTCAAATATCTCATAATTAGCTMGATAGATTTTTTCAAAAATCCCCACAAATGGAGGCATCTAGTATATATTTATATGGTACGAAGCATTTTAGTGTTGAACGCTCTGCAAGGCTAAAATTATTTTCTAAACGAAATCAAATATTTCATCATAATCACGTGTTATGACGTCCGATCTCATAAAAAACTGCATCAAACATTAATTCAATATTTATGTGACTTATGTGCAAAAAAGATTTGCAATCGGATAAAAGACGTTTATGCACTAGCGTTCCAAAAGTGGAAGGTAGCGGTCAAGCGTGAGGGGGTCGAGCCACCTTAAGGCCCCGTCCACACTATGCTAACCTGCGTGCAGTCGGCCTCTAACTGACTGCACGCAGGTTACGTTCACTATGCCGGATAAATTTGAATCCGAATTTTTATTTATTTGGTTAGGCCTACCGTCAACACTAGTCCGGGCGAATCCGGAACAATTCTTCACCGAAAACGAATTTTCGAAATGGAACCGAATGAATAAAAATTCGGATTCAAATTTATCCGGCATTGTGTGGACGGGACCTAAATGTAATTTGGCCGATATATTTCAAATTTCAAAGTCAGCCTTATGCAAATCAGGACGAATTCTGTATCAGGGTTTACAGATGCCTTCACTGTAGTGATTTTGTATTGTTCTAAGGTCATTAATTATTCATGATTTTTTAAATGCTTAGACTGTGATTGACCTCATACCCTGGGCCTCACATAAAGCAGTCTCGGAAACTTTTCTTCCAATCCCCGCTATTTGTCTTTGAAACAGCTTTATTTTCGGTTTAAAAGAACAAGAGCTTGCGTGATTCTATTACGAAACGATAAATAGACCCCTTGCAGTACGTCGGAATGCAGCTCAATTGGAGTACGAATTCTATTGTACTATTATTATTCTGTATTTAATACAGGGTATTGTTTGAGCTTTAAACCTATTATTTTACTTTCTAAAATAATTCTCTGTCCTGTACTGAGGACAATTCGACAAAAAGCATCGACTAAAATTAATTGACTTTTGTTCTCTCTTATTTTTTGAATATTTCGTGTTATGACATATAACTTAAGAAAATCCTTATGATTTTTACAGTTCATTTAGTTAAGTTGTTGATAATCATTTATTAGTTCAATTTAAATACATTAATTATTACATTTTTTTCCTGGTCATGGCAAATAATAAATAAATAAATCGCCGATAGCTAGTTTGAAGATGGTAGAAAAGCTTTCCATCTAAAAATATATTCTCACTTGACCTTTCCTGGGGGAAATAGCAACACGTCAGCAAATGTACAGAATAACRACATAAAAACCCTACCGCATTGATCGTATACATCTCCTATAGAACGATAACCAAGTTTTTCCATCTGGCCTGTCCATTTGTCCCATCCAACAGTGAAGTTACCTCTTGTACCTGACTCTCCAAAAAGGTCCAGCTCTGCGAGGTTCGCGAAGAAATACGGTCGAAGCATAACCCCTACGAAGGCTATAAACAACAGCAAAAGAATCTGAATTACGATTCGCTTCTTGTAGCCAATGCTGAAGAAACGATAACGAATGTAAGAGAACATGCTAGATATTCCTTCTAACATCTTATCATCTCATTCTAGTTGTAGAAGACAAAGAAATTGCGGACTTCCAAGGTCAGGCAAAAATTTCTAGTGAAAAAAAATTGGTGAAATTTGAGACAAGACTTAAGACCGGAAATGATGTTACGTTAATCAATCCCAAAGGGATTTGGAATGATGCCATAATGTCAGCTGGTTTGAACACATTTCCAAGATTTCAGAACATTGAGAGTTTTATCAGCATTTTATCTTTGTGTTTAATGGTTACTTTTACTTAAGAATTAACAAATATATATATATTCAAGGTTACTTTAAGGCTTCACATTCACTATCTTTGAGAGGGCTAACTGTGACATCGCACGTGATGGACCCGTGGTTTGATCCCACGGTTGTCAAGGCAACTAGCGTGAAGAGGTCACGCAAGCAAGCTTTTAACCTGGACTTTCGCAAAGTCCGCCGCCCTCTTTGTATCTCGCTCACTGGCGCGCGAATCAAATTAAAGACTCTCGCAGAAGACACGTGATCTTGACTTGGGGCAAGTCTGATCTGGATCTGATCTAAGCGGTATGAAGGAGAACTAAAATTATGTTGCTCTAGGTTTTGGTATAAAAAAACGAACAAATGTCAATCAATTAATAATTATTTTGAAATTTGAAGGATTTTTATGACTTACCATGGTAACAGTCGCGCGACAGCGAAGTCTCTGACAAGGTGGCGCGGCTTATATCTGCCTCTGCAATTTTGCGCGCATCGTGTGCACGGCCGGCATCTCGTAATGGCATTTAATTCTGGGGTCTGCGCTGTAAGTAAATAGCGTCTTTTTATTGAAGGTATGTAACCCACGAAAAATACTCTATCGTCCGCAACAGATACRTGTATCCATTTGGAGGCCTGGAGTTTTCTCCTCAAAATCGTAGCACAGCAGATAATTCAACTAAACCATAATGCAATCTGAAGACTTTGGGTTTGCAGGTTGATTTCGCTTCCACTACTGATTATTTTCATATGCGCGCATGGAGTGCAATTGCGCATGCGCATCTCTCTACGCTAGTTTTTTTTAGTTTTTTCCCCTTTCTTCATTCGCATCCTTTTAATGAATGAAAGAAAGATGCCTCCTGTTAATGCTTCCTCTTAAAGGAAAACAAGGCCACTCGGCAACGTGGAAATAAATGTCTTGGAATTTTTTCCCGCGTCCCACACGGAAAGGAGTGACCATTGATACCTATTCATCAGCTACACAATCAATATACTGGGTCTGCTGGTCRTAGCRAGGGGTTAATCATCTACTGGATTAGGGGCCGGCTAACCTCTCCCTTAAGCTTCGGCCAAGCTTCCTGATCAGTCTGTAATTYCTCCCGGGATAGGCGTGTTGGGGCCGAAATYATCAGCGTAGCCGTAAGTCCATACAACGGTTCAGCATTCGATTTATGGAAGTATGGTACTGGTTAATCGATCAATAAACATCAAATAATTTGGCTATAAAAGATAATATTAAAACAGAAATGATAACAGGGTAAATTTTACACCGTAAAAAGATGAAAAAACTTTCTATATATTTTCTGACGTTTCGGACGCTAGTCCTTAGTTTTTTCATCTTCACGGTGTAATATTTACTCTTTTATCATTACTGTTTCATTAAAAACACCGACGCAGCTCACACTAGTTTTTAGCTAGTTATCACTTCCGATAATGGACTATTATATTTTGGAAATATTCAAGAGAAAACTAAAAACATTTTTGTTCAATTTGTAACTTTAATCTTTTTTTTTTTCACTCGACACTTCGTCGTGGTATTTGTAAAGCGCATTGAGAGTCTATAATGCGCTATATAAAAACATATTTATTATTATTAAAATGTCGCCCTATTCGGATAGCTGAATTCGCGATTACAAGGAGCAATTTCTTCTGCAACTTGTCTTGCTTTGCGATGGACACAAGCCATGGAGCATCGCACCGTGTAATCTACTAGCCTGTGCTAAATTAGATGTTCCTGAATATTGAATATTGAATAAAATTTAAAAAAATAAAAGATTTAAAAAAAAATGTTGAGAGACGAGTTGCTGCAATCGTTGCAAAAAGTAGAATTCGCAGATTGCGTCTTCGTGGCAAACACTCTTTTAACTCGTTTTGCGAGACAACGTTGCAGAGGAAAGTGCTCCGTGTAATCGTGCCACACGGTTGGCTCAGTTGGTTGAGCATCGGAATTTCGTGCGGGTTCGAGTCTCGGCCGAACCAACACTCATGGTCTTAAAATAACTGAGGAGAAGGTGCTGCCTTCGTAATAACAACCAAATGGTTAGACCTTCACGTGGCTCGGATGACCACSTAAAATGGCGGTCCCGTCTCTCCACATTACCCCACCCTGCAACGTTGGGACGTAAAATAATCACTGATAGGACGTGACCACCCTCAGTGTCTGGTCTTTGCTAATGATTTCCTAATGGGTTGATTGTGCAATATACCTCGAAGGGGACCCTGGGTCTTAATGTCAGTGCAACACCAGTCTGTGAGCAAAATCTCAAATAGTAAAATAAATATAAATAATTAAAGCTTATGTCTAAAGAGAAGTTTTATGGCAGCCATGTTGTTGGACAAAACAAGATAAATATTTAATTTTGCCGATTTTATTTTYACCATTCATTCACTTTTATCTAAATTGGGCTCCCTGTGGAAGGAACCAACACAAACAACTTCTGCAAAGGAGACTCATTATTTTATTCAAGATTAATTTAGCTTTACAAATCACTTTTTTTCTAATGCATACTAATTGAAAGAATAGCCTTACAAATATACATTTTATCTCTTGTTAATTTTAAGTGAATCAAATGTTAAATTTTTCCTGTGTGATACTCTGCTAGCCGACTTTTTTTTGCCTTCCATTTTGATCCCGTTCACCCTTTGGAAAGGAAAAAAAACCTCTGCTCGAAGGGTACAAGTCTAATTACATTTGACGACAAGCTATTTTAACCAATGCTTACCCTCCCTAGTTATTATGATAAAGCAAAAAAGGTTTTGATGATATAGCAAATGAATACAATTTATTTACTTTGAAGTATTATTGATCCCAAACTATTAAGGATTATTAAGGATCATTAATCCCAGTAATATTAATTACAGATCATTAGGGGCCATTAATCACATACTTCTCAGTCTACTCTAGTAGAGGGACTATTGTATTATTTAGATTTTAGTCAAGCATGCGCACGTTCTAACGAGACTTTATTGTAAGCTCCTGTGTGTCTACGTGAATAAATAAATTACTTACCTCCTTACATACTAAATGCTGTTCCAAGAATAGTGAGAAAAAAATTGAATTATTCACCTAATTAGAATCCCAATTAAAAATAACATAGCAAAATATTTACATTTAAGTCTAATTTTGCTTCTAAGATAATTATGCTAGTCTGTTGGAATAATTCATTGTCGAGTTCCAAATTACCACATTTACTCAGCGTTAGTCTCATATCAGTGTCTATATATTCAGAAATACCAATGGTAAAGTAAAAGTGCACAACTTCAATAATACAAACACTTTTAAATTCACTGGAACTTCACTGGAACACATGAATATTCTACGCAAAATCGTGGCTAACCCTGAGCGACAGAGAACTTGGAACTGAGTATTGATATGATTTAATATTTAAATGAAAACAAATTAATGTTTTCCCATCTCATACTCATGTCATTTTCTTGAGAATAAATCTATTGTTCTAGTTGTATCTGTAATCATGTGTCTTCTTGCGTGCAGTTGTTAAGAAAGAAATGACATTTAAGAGAATGACACATGGTCTGAAATGGGAAAAACATTATTACCAATCTAAAGAGGTACTAACATCATTCTATTGTAGGAATCAATTTATGGTAGATATTTTTYGTTTACAAATTTAATGAATAGTAGAGATGAGATGCCAAAAATTTCCAAAATATGTCTCTTATTTTGAACATTCTCATAACAGTTGTAATTATTTAGATTTTTTATATGATTATTGTGGTGAAAATATTTCACATTCTAGAAATGCTTTCCAGTCTCCATATCATTCCACGTCAATCAGCTTTTCCCAAAAAAGGTTAACCAAAAAAAGTTGAACAGAGAGTGTAAATTCAATTYGGAAGATCCATTTTTAACTGAATTTTTTATTTTGGATTAAAAAAAAATTTTTTTTTTCCTTAAAAGATTGTTAAACTAGTTTAATATAATTTGTCATGCTGTAAAAATTCTCCTGGTGACGCTCCATACTTCATAATTCCACCTTTTACCGCAGCCCAACACATGGCTTCTGTGGTAAATGCCATCCCATAATCCCCATTGCTGTCGATGCAGATAGCCCCACCCTGACCACTGGTTAGATCATACATCTTGCTTAAAGCCTTACTACAAGCCTCTGAAGGTTGACAACCACTTTCAACATTTTTTGTGATTTCATGGGCAAGTACAACCTTGAGAATGGATTCACCATGCCCTGTGGTTGATACACCTGCAAAAGGATTGGCATAACCCCCAGAACCAACCATAGGAGAATCACCTACTCTTCCTGCCATCTTGCAAGGGATTCCTCCTAGAAATTTAACAGTTGTTGTCAGTAGGTGTCATTGTCATTTGTATGGAAGATCGTTTCCCCAGTTACCGCAATTTGCATTGCTACGCGGCCACACCAGACAAAAATTGCAACATGCACTTTGCAATAGACTGCAATCAATCAAACACGTTGACGTCATTTACACGCGTTTGGATCGGCCTGGATAAGCCTGGTGAGTGTGGCTTATAATACTTGTAAACAATCAACAAGTTTTGGCGCCTTTTGAATCACACATGCATGTAATGATGTCAACGTGTTTGATTGACGGCAGTCTATTGCAAAGTGCACGTCGCGATTTTTGTCTGGGACGGCCGTGTAGCAATGCAAATGGCAGTAATGAGTATAAATTGTAATCTGAAAGAAATGGATACTATCATGATAAAACATTGTTCATTCTTAAATGGGAATCATTTGTGTCTTGAAAGATACTTTTTCCCTGAAGAAAAATACTAACTTTCAAAGGAGTCTTAAAACCCACTTTACAATAGTTCATGGATCACTAGATGGTGTACTAGTGGAATGACATAGTGGCTCCGCTTCTATAGAGAAGCAGTAGCCACACCGAAAGACTGAAAAAGCAATCATAGAGAAAGAAAGAGAGAATGTGCAGAAGCAGATGATATTTCGAAATATAATCTTTCAGTACCTGTAGAAGTGGCACAGGCAATATTTCCATGACAGTCCATAGCAACGGCTCCAACAGTGTCATGCTTTAACTGTTGTGCCAAAAACTCTTTTATGCAATTTSGGTTCTTTGTATTCTTTAGGCTCTCTGTATTCATCGTTGCTTTGAGAATTAGATTAAAATCTTTTGGACCTTCAACGCCATTGAGGTACTTGCTCTTCAACACAGAAAAATGGCTGATCAATGTGGTTGGATCATCTATCATCGGGAGATTGTTCTTTGTTGCAAACTTGTGAGCTCCATCTGCAACCAGCAAGCAGTGTGGTGTTTTGTCCATTACATGACGTGAAAGGGTTACTGGATTGGGAACATGTGAGACACAAGCGACTGCACCTGAGAAGCAAAAATTAATAATGAATTGTTCTGTATGATAAGAACAAAATTGTAATTCTACTAAAAAATAAATAAATAAATAAAATAAATTAATTCCTGATGATGGACGTGAAAACTTGAACTTAAATATTTTCTTTTATCAAACTTTATTTACAATAATATTTTAACAGGATGCTCATTCCCAATATCAGTTTCCAATTCAAATCCAGTAAAGCCAAGAACATCAAAGGCATGACCTATAGGCTATGACATTTTTCGTTATTTTTGTACATTTTTTGGGGCAAAGCACATGTGGAGTAGCAGTGATAGCGCTCCCTTTTCATCCATGCAACCCAGGTTTCAGTCCTGCCGGGTTCAGTRTTGTATGTGAGTAGAGTTTCTAATTGGTTCTCTCCTGTGCTTCGAGGGTTTTGCTTTGCTGATACAGAATAATTTTTAGCACATGCTCCCCATTATGGGAATGAGTATATGGTTATACATATCCATATTTTATTTTATTTAAATAATGTACATTTATTTGTATTTTAATAGTTTGTTGATCTGAATATTATAGTTATTATAAGATTGCTAGTTTTTTAATGAATAAATAAATACATTTATAAATATAAATGAAAGAATGCATGAATGAATTAGAAGTAAATTTAATAAATCTACATTAGTTTTTTTATATGTCTGTCCTCTTATTAATGATAAATTGCATCATCACATTGTCAAAGTAGTGTGGATCCATGAGGAGTAGCAGAGTGAATCTGCATTCTTCTTTGACAATGTGATAATGAAACAATTTATCTTCAATAGGAGGACAGACACATAAAAAACTGATGTCCATATACTTCTTACAATAACAAAAACAATAAAAAATTATCGTTTTTAGTGATCAAAACAATCAAAGGAAAGAGTGCACTCTCAATGACGTCAGCTTTATCTGTCTGTCCTCTTATTGATGATAAAAAATAACCAATCAGTGCTCCAGAAATTTGTAAGTTATTGTAAAAAATAAATGAATATGGTATATCTTTGTGTATAAGTTGACCTTTGAGGTAAATAAGCAAGCAAGCAAGATAAATTTAAGAAATACGAAGCCATTTTATATCCCTTTTACAAAATAACATGMACAAAATTGATAAAAAATACTAAAGGTAGGATATAATTTAATCGATGAAAAATTAAAGTATCTAGGTATATACTAGATGCAAATCAGTGTTATTCCCAGGGTTTTACTGTTCACCAATTATGCTTTCCTACACTAAGGTTTTCTTAAAAGAATAATAAAAGCTAAATCTATGGAATACTACATTTTACAGTTCCGTTCGAGTGACCATGAATAATAGTTGCGAGTTGAGGCTGCAGTTTCCGCGCATAGCAAAACTATACTTTTTATCATGCGTGGAAACTCCAGCCTCGGCTTGGAATGGAACTGCAAAATGGAGTATTGGAAATCATTATTAATGCCAAAGTCAAATTGGTTTTCATTCTAAGGGTCTTAATGGTTCACCAATTATGGCTCCCTAGATTAAGCTGGGTTTCACTTGACTTTATTTCCTGTTGCGTGTGGAATGTTTCAGCTGAATCGCAAGTTTTTTATAGCATTAATTTTCTTGTTGACAGCAAGATGGTCAATGTTTGAAAACTGTTTTGAGCAGATAATGAGATTCAAATACTTTTCTCAGCTGATTGAAAACTAGCAATATGCCTGGATTCATTTTTAAAGAATAATAAAGCTAAATCTATGGAATGGGAAAACTTAAGAGAAAATTATATTGAATCTCTCACTATATATCTTGACAGTACCTGAAGTAACAAGTAATTAATATTATAACCACACAATTGCAAGTTGCCCCTTTTTTATATTCAAAATATGGTTTTAATACAGGTATTAATAAGTCATAAAGACAATTCATAGTTTAATTATAATAACTGTGTTAAAGGAATAGAATAGAACAGAATATAATAGAACGTTGTTCCATTCTTCTTTCATATGTTAATTATAATAAGTATCAAAACTTTGACTCAAATATTTTATTCCAACATGGTACTGAGGCATTATTTTTTTCTGAGAGAAAGAGAATAGTGACTGACTTTTGAAGTAGAAAAGCTGTGTAAATATTACTTACAACAGCCCACTGAGGTGGACTCATGTATACCTGTGCTCAAAGTTTTTCCGTCCATTATCATCGCATCCATTTCAACAGTTCCATCTTCTGTTAAGACGGAGCCGTGCCCTGCGTTAAATATTGGGTTATCTTCAAGGCTTCGCACTGCAGCTTCTACACCATCAATTGCATTACCTCCCTAGTAATACAGTAGATTAACGGCAATGGTCCAACATGGCAACAACGAAACACATCAAATAACATTTTTCCATTTTCTTTCACTTCATATATTTTTTCCTAATTATGGCATATTTGTTAATTTCATATCATTCTCGACTTTTATTGTCTTAAAATACCAAGTAATGGTCTTGAAATGGTTTATGAAAAATTTGGTGATACAATTTACAATATTGAACTAAATTGGAAAGAAATTTTTTTTTTCTTTCTTCAAGATTTAAAAAAATCAAATATAATTTTTTTTTTKCAGATTCCTGTTTCTGATCGATCACTTGACTTTCACATGATTGTTTGTATAGTCAAAAAATTCAAACGCCCTCAATCGACAAATAACTTGAGTATCAGGTTTAGTTCTCTGAGTATAAATGTCCTTTAGCTCCGCAAACCTCCAACTGCAGTTCGACGTCAGGAGTTTTCCTTCAAACTTTCGACATTTATCAAGGCGTCATAACAAAATTTTCGTTGGAAGAATGGCCATAGTGGTATTAAATTTCATTGATTACGTGTGTTTCTCCGTGTTTGCGGGCGTTTTAACGGAGCCTGATTCCTAGCGGTTATATAGCGGTAAACACGATGCGAAAGGTCTAGGGCCTGATATTCCGGGGAAAACATGACGCCATAAAATTACAAAAAGAACCATATAAAAACAAGAAGTAAGACGCTTTATTTTTTTGATATTTGTAGAGACTGAATTTTCGACGATCGGGCGAAAGAAAACAATATTTTTTATAGGAAAGATTTTTTCGAATTTTCAAAAGCTAAATGTTACGTAAGCTGTCTGAAACTAACTCTTGTGATCTCATTAAGAAGATGCATGACAGAATCCACCATATAAAAATATAAGACAAGAAAGATTATATACCTTTAACATCGCTTCATAACYGGCCGTCGCAGCTTCTTGAACTCCTTCCAAGGAGACTTCCCTCAGTTCTAAGGGGACCGACCAAGCTCCTCCATGAACTATCACACACGGCTCAAAAACCTTACAATCCGACTCTACGAGCTGTTTTCCTTTACCCATTTTCGATGTGAAGGTACAAAATTTCAAGGAAGTTGTGCTTAGGATCCGTTTTGATGTCTAAAATAAAAGAAAAATGTTAGAAAAAAGTCAACAATGGTAAAAGATCGGCAGCCATTTTGACCGCGGTTAATAAAAGTTCGCCAAGAATCTCTCGTTGGATTCTTTTACCTAAGATATTTAACAAGAAACATTCCCAATCTCAAGACAAAGGTTTTTATCCAAAAAGAATAGTCATCAGAGAATTTACTTACCTATATTCGACCTGACAAAAATTTATATTGCGATTGTCGTCATAAACAGGAATATTGTTACCAAACCAGTCCAGAATGCATTGCGGATTTGATACCTACAGATCTAGAAAACACACTGGGAACAGTGAAACATATCCTAGGGTAAAATGCGCTTTGTTTTTAAACCAGTAATACCACAAAATATACAACAAATCAGACTAGTTAATTTATATTCTTTCTATTCGCTTGATTTGGAAAATTTGACGCAAAGTCCAGAAGTTATTTTCTTATTCTCATTCGAATTAGTGATGACATCACATAAACGTTACTGAGTCAAGCTGAGTACGGGAGGTACACGTAATTTCTGTTTTGGAAACGAGTTTTCTATATTGAAAGGATTTCTAAACTACTAGTGGATGTTATATCGGGAATTTGCTCGACCTTTCTATGATTTGAGGTGAAACCGGTTTTCAGGAATTAAAGAACGTCAATTGTTACCATGGTTACCGGAAATCTAACGATAAATCGGAAAGTGAAGAATCAAAGGCAATATGGAAAAATAGAAATAAAGGAAGGATACGGCGAAAAAGAAAGAAAGAAAGACTAAAGAAAGAAGTAAAGGAAAAAGAAAAAAGAAAATGAAAGAAAAAGGAAGAGAGAAATAGAGAGAGAGATAGAGAGAAAGGAAGAGAGGAAGGAAGAGAGGAAGGAAGAGAGGAAGGAAGGAAAACGAAAGAACACTCTTCTATTTTAGGTTACGTGGCGTTGCAACAGGACAAAAAACACTAAAGGATAAAGGATTCTAACGAAATCTGGTAAACTCATGCAATAATTTTACCAGCAGGGTACTGAGAATTTGAGATTCCCGTGCCCTGTCATATGTGACGTGTTTTTAAAAAATCAATGCAAGAAAAGCTTCACCGAAAACAAAAACTACAATAATAAGAATAAAGAAAGAAAAGAAAAAAGAACAGAAAAAAAAAAGAAAAAAGTGAGTGGCATAATCACTGCTTTTCATATATGTCAGAACAAACCTCCAGATCAGGACCATAGGGAAGCTGGTGCCAGAAGTTTTTAGTCGTCAGATTTTTGAGTCAGTTTTTGGATCTGTAAAAATTGCTCGGCATTCGTAACACTGCGCTTCGAACCAAGATAAAACCTATACTGCGCGTTAAATTAACTCGTACTTAACTCTGCCATGGCCGGTCGCAAACCCGGATGAGAAAGGTGGAGGGTTGGGCGAAGGGCTAGCAACCCTTAAAAACCAAAAACAATGCTACAGAAACATGCATCATCRACAGAGAAACTTGGCGTTCAGATGCTGTTGATGGCCTATACCCCACGAGGGGTATAAGTTCATAGCAGTGTGTACAGCTAGAAATATCCATCCCCAACGACTAACATGTGCCAAGCGGGAGCGCGAGCCAGAAAAATGGTGGACCCATGCTGGTTTGAGATTTCGCGCAGCAGAATAAGATATCTTATATATTCTGTATGGCAAAGTAATGTCAAGGCCATAGCCACCATTTGGACACTGGTCCAGCTTTTATRAAAGGTGGACCTGGTTTTTTATTCACTTGTGTAATACATATTTTTTTACGAAGTGGTGCGGTTTTACCTGGACCAACCTTACTGGTGGTCGAGGCCCTGAATAAGATATTAAACTGTGGAGAAACAAAACTAAAATCGATGTCCAGTGGATTATGCATTTTATAATGATTATCACTAATTCGTCAGATGCAGTCGATTCCGGTACGCGATTTGTGACGGCGCCTTGTGTCGTACGGTACGTTTCAGAAGCATACGAAATCTACTCCACGACGTTTGCCCGGGCGTTTGATCTGCTGTCAGGATGGCGGCCGAGTTCCAAT